TTGTCTACCTTGTCTTACTGGAATCAGAAATGATACATATCCATAGTATCCATAACTTAAGAAGATAGAAGCTTTGCAGTATCCTTAAATAACATTAATTGGTAACAACATTAGCCACATTCTCGTCGTTGCCAAAACGGGATGCTGTCATTTGATAGAAGTCATTCACTGTACTTAATGAGATGAAATGTTTACCCTGTTATAACTTTTATGTCTTTTTATATATGATATTTTAACGTAACTATGAGAATAACATAATATTATCTTAAGTTTACCGTTGCGTTATTCTCACCTTTCTCCTTCTGACTTACATCCAATTTCATACAGTTACTTTATAACATAAATATGTTGGCCAAAATCAATCTAATCTGAGCATGCTATATCGATGCTGCGACACTGAAACAATGCTATCAGTCAATTAGCCAACTGCATGGATTAAAAAAAATTATAAAAATTGGGCAGAATAAAATAAATTTATATTTTTAATGTGCGTAAAATAAGTAAAGTGCTCTTGCATTGACTGCGCTTTAAAACCAGTTGAGGCAAGTAGATAGAATCCTCCGGCATCGCTACATTTGTCATATTTTTTATTCTATTACGGGAAGAGGTGTTTTGTAGACCTTTGTGTGTGTGTTCATCTTTAAATTAAACACATTCCAGTTAACTCTTCAATGTTTTACTCATAGGCGTTCATCCTAAAATAAATAAGCCTTCCTTTGTATCAATGCCCTTAGAAAGTCCTCTAGGAAGGCATCAATCCCTTTAGGCAGATAGCCCTCGTGTGTTTTGCCATAATTTAATAACCCTAACCCTAACCCTTTATTAATCAATTATTTTACATTTAAAATAGATTTACAAATATCTGATCCATTTCATCATTTGGTTGTTGAAGTATAGGCTAAAATTGAGCTAACTTTTAGCTTTAATATTAAAAAATCAAAGTGATTTAAAACATTTTAGTCTTAATTTATAGCATTTCTTCCTCCAAGAGTTTTTCCTCCCTTCTGTTCTTTCTTAGTTGTTGATTAGGAGAATAAAACAACTTCTCGATACTTTCTCTTATACGTAATTTTGTTGGAAGCCACCGTATCTTCTTACTAATTGCGCTTATGATGAAGTAACATATTTCATTTTTGTAAAAGGAACATCGTTAGAAATAATTGCAGGGTGTAAGCATATAAGACCGCAACAAACAAAATTCCAAGTTTTTTAATGAACTTCCCATTTATATAACTATTCGAAATTTTCAGAAATTATATTTGATATGAAAAGTATTTTAAATAAATTTGAAATCATCATTATGGTACACTATTTCAAATTATCTTTATAATTAATTAAAAATCTTTCAGTATTGATATCATGGAAATTTTTAATATTAAACCTGAGTTTGCCACTATTTATAGAAATTCACTTATAAAAAATCAAACATTATTTAGCTATCAGAATGAAAGAGAAGCATGCCAACGTAAAACTTACAATTAGGAGAAAGAAAACAATCTTAGTTTGGTGAGGATTTTGAATCAATCTTACCGATCTCGAACGCGTACCTTCTTCTTCAGGAACAAATTTGCGTCTGTAGAAGAGGAACCTGTGATCATTATTTATAGGATGACCCATACATTGTAGATGTAAATCATACGCCGAGGATTTTTAAACATTTTAAGGATTCTAAAACTTTTATTTTTAAAATAATTTTAAAATTTGCAAGATTTAATGCATTGTAATAAATAAAATAAAAAGAAACAGACATGGACATAAAAACTGTTAACTTATTCCCATTTATTGCCATAATTAGAGAGGCCATATATGTCCTCTAATATTTAAAGTGTTTTTCTTTTAAACAGTTACAACAAAGTTGCACATGAGATTACAAACTACATTATACATTAAAAATATGCCACAGTAAAACTGCATACATCACAGGACTCTATCCTGCAGCGGAATTTAGCAATATAATAATTTCGCTCAATCAAGAATTTTTCTTTGTTTTAACAAGTGAACAGTATTTATACAATTAAAAAAGAACAGCATCTAAGAAAGAACAACACATTCTCGACTAACATGTGTGATACACGTCATTACGAACACATTTTATTTTTTGTAATAATGATGTAAATTCTTTTAAAGACTATGAGTTATGGTGTAAATGCTTTTAAAAATTGAAAAATTTCAAAAGGTAGTAAAACTTATCCGTCCTCAAATTTAAACCTCAAAATTAAACAACAGGATTTTATAATTGACACTAAAAATATAATAATAAATTATAATAATTTTATAGTGTTACTGAGATAAAGAAACATTTTTATTTTCTTAAATAGTTATTAATATTAACGTAATAAGCTACTATATTTATTGAGAAACAAGATGCTAGAATATTTTCTTTAAATTTAAACTGCAACCTAATTTTATGTTTTAAACACCTGAATAAAAAATGCTATGTTGAAAAGTATTATGATAATCTTGCAAATCCAAAAATTGCGGAATTTAATATAGCTTTATAATCAGAATTACTGAAAATACGATATTTATCAAATCATTCACCGCAATTATTTAAAAATCTGTTAACATCCTAATTATTAAAACTTTGATCCACTTATTACTAATTTGGAACAAAACTGAATATCTTTTAAAGTTATATTGTTTATTTAAATATCAGTATACTTTATGAATATTGCGCATACGTATTTTTCCAATGTCATAAGCCTAAATATATATCGAAATTAATAAACTCAAACATTAAACTGCTTTATCGCATGCGAGTGATAGATACCAAAAGAGGAATATCTTTTTACTCTTTAATTTTTCGCCGATTGATACCATTTTACCGATATCTTTTTATCATTCCTTCTACGCAGTTGAGAACTTTGTGTGCACAGCAATTATCACTTGACATTATTAACCCCAGAACTATATCTCGTAAATTTGAAAATCGTAGCTTAAATTTTGTTTAGTTTGTCTATATAACATGCAGCAAACAGATAGAAGTATTTTTTATCAGTTCCTTACATATCTATAGTAAACAAATCTTAAACATCAGCCGAGTAGATAAAATATCGTAACATTGACAGTTGCGTCTCCGATTCCTTTTCCGTTGGGTTAATTTAGAGGTGTTATGGTATCTTCGTTACTTCCTTAAGTGAAGTTTTATGAGGACAAATGCGAGTCAGCTCTATCCTCACAAAATCCTTTATGAAGGCATTCCTCCAACAGAAGAAAACCTATTCCTGTTTTCCCATACTAAACTACCTAATTTATCTACCATAAGAAAAATCAATGCCATGGAAAAGCTATTTAAAGTAAGCACTCACAAAGTAAATCAAATAACATGTTTCTTAATACCTTAATACAGTATCAAAAAATACAATCACAGTCAATATGATAAGTTGTGCTTTACGACATTCGTATGTATAACTTTGATAAATCGTATATGACGTTTTACAATTTTTATTTCTCTGACAGAAAACATTCACTTCAGTTTGAAATTTTTGTTTCATATTTAATAAGCTTTTGTTCCTTCGCCTTGAATCATTTCATGTGGCAGTTTGGAACATTCTTCTGACAGTTTAAGAACCCATCTGGAAGTGCCTGATATAAAATTTGCAGCTATGCTTGTTTGAAGTGTCATAACCATATATACTAGTGCAACACAACATTTTAGAAACTCTGTGAAACTAATTTCATAAAACATTTGCTTTTCACTAATACAAAATTTATTCATTTTCAATATTTCGTTTAGTAAAGAGATTGAAAAACGGAATTTGAGTATTTCATATTTTTCAGATTAGATCAAAGTCATTGTTAATAAATAGCTGACATTTCTTTCGACTTACTACATAAATTACAACCTAAGAATTGATTTTTCATATTTAATTGCAATAATGCTGGTATTGAAACATTTATTTTGGGTCTGTAAAAATGACTTATACACTACCTAAACAAGAATGAAGAAATAAATATAACGACAAATATATGATTTAAACAAGAAATGCACAATAAATTAACGCAAAACACATTTAAAGTGGCAGCAGTTTTGAATACTTTTATTTTCCTCTGGCAGATTTAAAATAAAATTCCGTAAATTTACATCATGAAACATAACGCGTTCATTAAGTTATTCACTTCAGCTAATAAATTATCTTCATTACGTAAAGAAGACGAAAAATTTTCTAAACGTTTAAGTAGCTAATTTATTGCCCAACGAAAAGTGAAAATTATCTTAGTGATTGATAAGTATTTTATTTACGTAGAGTCAAGGGAATCACTGGCGTATTTATTTTGTAGAGATAATAATATAAGAAGTTGATCATTAGCGGAACCACTCTTCAAAAACGTTTTTATTATATAGTTTTTAAGAATTGCTTCTCTTTTCTACATTACAAATTTAATTAGTATGCAGTGAAAGCACTGTAATTGCTAAGTACATAATCTTACTTACTAGTAACCAGTAAAAACTAAGCATACCTGTTTTTTTTTTTTTTTCCTTCATACAAAGTAATGAATTACGAGGTGTAATTAAATTATGTAAATACGGCTTTTTAATTAAATTTTAGCGGTAGCTACCTTATTATATATGTGTTTGTTGCTATTGTAGATACAGTTTAAAAAACTAGCTTTCTTTATTTAATGAATAGATCATTTCAGAAGAACATTATATAATGCAGAATACACAATGTTTATTTACGCACATGATTATATATTAAACATTTAATTATAAATTAACAATATACTATTAATACTAAAGATCTCAAGCATTTATTCATTAAAAAATATATACATAATATTTAAATGAACTCTGCAATTCAGTTCAAGTCAGTTCACAAAATTAGTTGTGTTAATGTGTAATAATAACATCATGAGAGGATATTAATTGCGATTCTCTTCTGTAAGCGAACTAGAACTGTATCTTCGTTATTTTGCCTTTTAATTATTTTTATCTTTGATAAAAATGAAACTAAATTTTTGTAACCTCACATATTACTTATTTGTTTCTATACACACAGAAGCCAAAGAAGTTTGCATGAAAGAATTAGGATGTTTTGCAATAACTCCTGATTTCAAGCACATACTTCATAGGCCCATTAATGTGTTGCCAAATGACAGAGTCGCCATAAACACACGTTGCCTTCTTTATACTAGACGCAACGCTAAAGAACCAGAACAGCTGTTGCCCAATAACAAGAAATCCATCTCAGAATCTAACTTTGATGCTAAAAATCCTACAAAGTTCATTGTTCATGGATTCATGGACAGCGAAATTTTTGGACCTTGGATGGCAGTAAGTAAAAGACATTAAGTCTATAAAAGTGAATTTATTATCTTTCATTTTTACTGTCATAAGTTTTCAAAAACATTAAAAGGTGCAGAAATATATTATACGTCTATCACTTTTAAATCTGGATGCAAATAAAAATAATGAAATACGAGTACAAAACTGGTGGTATAAAAGCTGTACCAAAATTCATTGCGGTCAGCGGCGAGCAAATTATTATTCTACACTGACTACCAATAAGTATTTGGACACCTATGTAAATAACGATATCTGCGGTTCTAAGGTACGTCACGGACTCTGCCAGTATATAACATGTAGGAAACAGCATCGGCTTTAGTCGCATGCGAGATGCCTCGCAGTTCGGAGCTCTCTGATTTCGAGAAAGGTATAATTATCGGTATCACAAATGTGGCCGATCCGAGACATAGCTAGCGATCTGAAGTACCCAAAATCGACAGTGGCCTATGTGATTAAGAAGTGGAAGGTGAGCAGTGATTGTCGGAATGTGCCCCAAGTCGGCAGACCAATGAAACTGGGAGATAGAGACCGACGAGTGCTGTCCAGAGAAATTCAGAAGAACCTCACCCAACAGATGACCCTCATCCGCGAGGAGTTTCAACAGGCATCCGGGAGTATTGTTTCAATGAATACCATTTGTAAGGAAGCACATCTGCTTGGTTTTCATGGTCACGCTGCTGCCCATAAGCCTTTGATAACAAAGTCCAACCGCGCTGCTCGGTTAACGTGGTGCAAAGCACATCGAAATTGGACCGTAGATCAGTGGAAACGGGTTCTTTGGAGTGAAGAATCGAAGTTCATCCTTTACGTTCGGATGGCAGGGTCTGGGTCTGGCGTCTACCTGGAGAACGTCTCCTGCCAAAATGCATTGTGCAAACAGTCAAGTTCGGCGGAGGTGGAATTATGGTCTGAGGGTGTTTCTCCTGGTATGGGCTGGGACCCTTGGTCCCCATTCATGGTAAGATCAACTCCAATGCCTACTACAATATTTTGGATGACAATGTGCTTCCTACGTTGTGGCAGTTTTACGGGTTAGACCCCTGTTACTTTCAGGACGACAATGCCAGTTGTCATGCTTCGACGTTAACTAAGGCTTGGTATGGTGCCAATGGAGTTCATCGAATGGACTGGCCTGCCCAGAGTCCAGACCTGAACCCTATCGAGAACCTCTGGGACGAGTTGCATCGCCGAATTCAGGGGTGCACTACCCGTGCAAAATCGGTGAAGGAACTTCTATGTCTTCTCCAAGCCCAGTGGAAGAAAACACCACTAGCTGTCATACAAAGACTTGTGGAAAGTATGCCCCGGAGGGTCCACGCTGTAATTACCTCTCGTGGAGGCTCTACCAACTATTTTGAATAAAGTTAGTTTTTCTTTTCTATCACAGGTGTCCAAATACTTATTGGTATATGTCAGGGATAGGATTATATTACAGATATCTACTAATTTCAGTCACAGTGCAAATGTTTGTATAAGTATTTTATTAATTAACTGTGTTTACAAAACGGATGAATTAGACATAAAAATTAAAATACGAATAATCCTGTAGCAAAATACGTCATGTAGCGCATTAGAAGCACCTTTCATTAACAGTAACAATTCTGCAAATATTCATAGTTTCCAGTGATATATATCACAATTTAAATATATTTTAAATTATATCACTAAAACATAATATTAAAAGATGAAAATTAGGATTCACTTAAATAGCATGTTTATTGCTTTTAATCCAGCAGCCTGGTATATAGCATTTCAAATTTAATCAGTTTCTGACTGCTTATTAAACAACTGTAGACTGATTAATGTTAAAAGATAAACTAAAGATCTTATGCTTTTCCAAATGGCAATACTTCGAGAACTGGTTATTTGAGAGACCACTATGTTAAGATAAATGGTCCTAGTTTCGTCCAAAAACAACTATTATCAAGATGCATGGGTATTAAATGCAGGATAGCGGTACGTAACATAATAGTCCAACAATATTGTAAAAGATTTTCTAAGGACGCTTCTAATGTCGAAAAAGTAAATTTATATATAATTTATATATAGTTCATTAAAGGACATTGATATTGCTTTTAAATCGCTCAAGTAATTAAGCAATGCATATAGTCAAGTAGTTCAGCAATGCATAGTCGAATGATAAAGTCAATAATATATGCTACACCGAAATGTACTACTTCAGAAAACTGTTAAACTGCTTGCCATCGTGAATGATAATTAAAAATTTCGTGAGTTATGGAATGAAAACACTTGCCAAGTCACTTTTATTATTAACTCTTTGGTGGCGTAATATAATGTAACGAGATGAAAAAAATGGAAAAACATAAACGTTTACATGATTTTCTTTTACATACTGAAAGAGAGAGAGTAATGTATGTTTTGGTTGAATGCGAGTAAATCTAGTTAGTGTTATAATAACAGGATATTGTTTATAATAATCATTCCTTTTGGTTAGTTGTTAAATAACGCATAATAATCCGATTTACTGGTAAATATTCGAAATTATAAGTGAAGTCTGATGAATGTAATAAAAATATATTGAAGTCCTTAAACGCCTAAATTACAGTTTCTTAAGTAGACGTATTACAATATGTGGAATTTAAAATTAACTGAAATCAAAGTTTCCTAACAGAAGGTATGAAGACTTAAATAAAAATTTCCATGCATGGTAAATGGTTTACATAAGTATTAAATTTTAATAGAAATTATGACAGCTATAATATTCAGGTTGTAAGATTTAGTCCTATTTTAACCATATTTTAATATGTTTTCAAATGGATTGTCATCTGTTGAGTTATGTACCCATTTTCCTTAAATTGAATTACTTTTATTCCTTCTGGTTATTATTTGTTTTAAGCCAGATGGATAATATATTTTCCAAGTTCTGGTTTCCTCTTATATAGAAGTTTTGATTCACTATATATCTTGTTTTTCATGAGCAATTTTGAGATCATCCCACATTTCGCCAACTTTAATAATTTTGTTACCGAATTCCCGATTATTGACACTCTGAAAGATGCTCGATTCTCTAAATACTTTTAAATGCATTCTGTAAATGTTTTCTCCCGTTGGCTTTCTTTCTTTTAAGCTCTTAAATTAATAAAGTCTTCGCAATCCATTATAAATTTATAATTTCAGTCCGCTTGTGAATGAATGTCAATCCGATCGCTAGGACATCTCAAATTCAATCCATTGATTTTAACTGGTTTAAAGGACCATTGTTTGGAAGATTGTAAGATTTTTACAAATTTAACAAAGATTTAAAGAATGACAATTTCTACCGTAATGTTTTGATACTTTGGCTTAAATTCTCATCATTTCTCTTTCGTCTTCCATGGCCAACTGCAACATGGATTTCATAAATCATTTGAAAATTCTCTATGAAATTGCAATGCATAATCTTTTTTCTTTTATTTTTAATTGGTACGATGTGTTTTGCATCATTTCCAGTTCTCCCAGTATAGTACATTGATAGTCTTTGGTAGACATCTGGTGATTTTCTAGAAATCTTCTCTGTGTTGTTTTTAACCAGGATTTGGCAATTCGGTCCCCTCATCCCCAGTCGCTTTTTGAAAGGGGTAATATGTAAAGTATTTTCTCTATCTTTTCCGAGTGTCTTCTTGGTGTAACTAGAAGCACGTCCGACGCGTTTGGGGGAGGTAATGACTACGAAAGCATTTATGTCTCCTGCATCGGTATAACCTAACGACTCTACAAGTGAGAGCTTTAAAAGCAATTATGTTTACTTCTTAATAAACTTTACTTCATTTTTAATAATGCACCTGAGTGATATAACTTCTAATATCTTTAACTGGCCCATTTGTAATATAACTCAGATAATTTTTATAAAAATCTGCCATTCAATGAGACGGTAACAAAGGTGTATTAGTATATTTAATAAAAGATATTTCTGTCATATGTTGCGCAACTCGAGACATAATAATCGTTTTCTCTCCAGCTAACAATAACTTTATTACATTTTTTATCTTTGTTGTTGCTGTCAGGACGTCTTATTTATTTACTTGGAGTCTATACTCGATTTATCTTCTTCTAATCTAGTTTCTTGGAGCTAATTCAGCCGTCATTTAATTGATTGTGCAAGCGGAAGTTGTTTGTTAACTTAGGTCTGACACTGCTTTGTACAGCTAATGGTGACTCTGTTTCTCACCACCGTAACGCCCACATTGGCTTTTCTGTTACGGTCGTCCTGCTTTCTATAAACGCTGAGAAAGCACAGTAACAGTAGTACTGAATGTGGTAAAGAAATTTGAACAAACAAATGACATATAGTTAATTGCTTTTCAAGAGTTGTTACAGTTTTCACTCTATTGAGTTCTTTGATAGAGTTCTAAACATATATAATTGATAGAGTTCTAAACATATATAAATTGATAGAGTTCTAAACATAATATTAATTTTTCAAAAACAAAAGATGAAATTTAGGAAATTAATATTTTTTTCCTTCTTTACAGAAATTAATTTCCTACTTTTCAAAAGATTAACAGCAATCAAGAAACTTTATTAGTAGGAAATGGAAGTCATAAATCATTAAAATAAATAGAAATAGTCTTTAGAGGAAAGAACGTGGGTGAAAATTCATTAAGCATTACATCGTTTTCCGAAATGGAAAACTAAATAGTAATGTTGCTATTAATAACTTAGATATGGAAGCAAATTAGCAATTATTTTATACTCTTTCTCGAAATATGTCTAGCATAAGCGATAGATTAGTGAATGATAAAAATCTTATTGTTAATTTGCAAATAAAAGATTATTCTGGAGCGAGGTAAGTAATATATGATGTTAAAAGCATTTTTACTAATCACAATGAAAGAGCAAATATTTATGAAAATTATCAGATTTATCATAAACAACATGAATTAGATGCATAACAAATTACAGCAGTAAGGATGTTATTTAAAAGTAAGAAAATGATAATCATCAAGCACATAGCAAATAAATTATTATATTTCTTTTCAATAGCTCAGTTATTTAAGCAATATACTGTTTTAATTTAAAAGGTAAATTAAACGTCTTAGGTAACGTCAAATAACAACCCCTTTGAGAACTGGAAATTTGACAGAGTGCGCAGATGATAAAAAATAAATATTAAACTTTACTTTATGGAATTACAATTTTTCTTAAGCCACGTGGGTGAAAAATGTCCAGGTGTCGTAACAAAACGGAATACAACGATGACAAGAAGTGGAAAGATTAAGGAAGGATTTTAACATCTATTCTCTACTGTTAAATTTTGAGGTTAAATTAAAAACATCAATGTTAAATAGCAAAACTTACTTATTGTTTCTCATCGTTTTATTAAAATTTCATGTTTGATGTAATGCATTTATATTTGTTGGTTTCTCAATTTAATTGCACGCAAGAGAAATTTCTAACTGTTGCCATTCTCTTAATCAGCTGTACCTATTGATGCATCTGACATATTAATACATTTTCTTTACAAAAAATGACAAATTCCCTTTAACTAATTTCCCTGATACTAATTTAAGTTAATAACGCTAATAAAGTAAATAAAGATATAACAGTAACTCATGCAAGTGTAGCCATAATAAGTAGTGAAATATTTCATCTTCATCACGAAAAATTATTTCCTTCGGAATTATTTCATAAATTAATTATCGTGAATTTGTTGCATGAAACTTGAGAACTCAAAGCAAGTATTGTAATCCAAACCTTTTGGAGGGAGGGAGAGCGAGGTAAGATCGCCAATCCACATAAAACTTAAAAATTTAGCATTTTCTACCAGTAACCACAGATCAAAAAATTTTGAGTTGTGGTGTTTCTAAGACTTTGTTCCGTTAATTTAGAAAACGTTTCGAAAATATGGCTTACAAACGCAGCTGACTATAAAAGGGAAATACTTCAACAGTTTTGCAAATGGCTATAAAGCAATTAACTGAAATAGAATGTAGTATTACATTCTATCAGTGTTCAGTATTTTTCCCTTGCTTAGGGAAATATTATTTTATTTTTTCTTTGATATGAGTGGCTTTGTAGTGCTTTACACAAATACAACCTAAAACAGGACATTTTTATCGTATGCACCATATTTATGGAACGTGCTTATGATATGTAATACTTATGGAGCATTGAATTTATAAGTGTGCATAATTTATTTCTCAGAGAATGAAAGACGAATTCTTGTTGCACGGAGATTATAACATCATAATCGTTGACTGGAGTGGAGGGAATAAAGCTCCTTACTACCAAGCAACAGCTAATACCAGAGTAGTGGCTGCAGAAGTTGCACTAATCATCACAACTTTGGAGGTAAGTTAAATGTCTCGCAATATTGAAAACTATATTACAAGATTAGTTTTGCGAATTAAAAATTTTAATAATCTAAAATGTATAATTCTTGATATTCTAAGTCGGGAAGATAAGAAACTTTTTTTAATCCCAATGGAGGGCCCCCTCAGCCGACTTCGGCTTGGTCACAACCAAGAGCAGATGTGGTGGTCATTTTACTATGGAGGCACCTAATAGGTGGTGCCACCTTTGCCTCCTATGAAGGGACGGAGAGTTACAGTCATGGCTTCTCCAGGATACGAACCCGGGCCTTTTGGTATAGCAGTTGGCTCCCCTAAACACTATACAATAATGGACGGCAAATAAGAAATCTAATACTAAGATAATGTTTTGTGATACAACATTTTAGCATTTCTGTGATATTTAGAGTCTACAGTTTTTCAACTAAATATTACTACCACATAATGTTTTATTATATAAAATTTTAGCACTTTTGTAATATTTAGTGTCTGTAGTTTTTTCAACCAAATGTTAACTATAAAAGCTTAATATATAATGAGACATTCAAATGTAAATGTTGCTGACTGCACAAATGTAGTAAAGAATAAAAAATATGCGAAGCTGAAAACACTTACCACAGGAAGAAAAGAATAGTAAAATAAAATCAAAAAATAAAGATGCTAAGCAAGGCATTTAAAATAATATGGTTCGATATTCCATACCAGTTCTCAAAGAAATGAAACTGCATTACGCTATAATAATTAAATAATATATTTCCCAACAAAATGAAGTTTTAAATTTTAAATGAAAATATTAAGAGCGAAACGCGAGATGATTCTCACTGCTCTGTTTCATCGCTCAAAAGCTCCCTACTCTGTTTATAGAACAATGTTCAGGTGATAGGAACCATTTATTATCAAAGAAGACAGTTATTTCTATTTAAGACATCTATTATTTTATTTAAAGAATTTGTTTCCTCCCTTGGGATTTTAATGCTCTTTTTATGCAGAAGATTTTCTGCAGAGCTTTACCAACATTTATCATTATCTTTTAAGAGTCTGAATTAGACAAATCTTCCCATTTTTCAGTATTTTAGAAAGGAATTACCTTCTAAAGGAATTCTAGAAAGGTGCAATTTTTGAAATACTCCTGGTATATTTTGCTGCTAGTTTTTGTCCATTAAGAAAGTGTGTGTGTGTGTGTGATTATGGCAAAGCCTCGAGGGCTATCTGCCTAAGGGGAGGGATGCCTTCGTGGAGGACTTTCTAAGGGAAACTGGCTCGTATACACGTTACACATGGGGAAAACCACGAAAACGCCCATGCAGCCAGCCCGTTCGCGGGATTCGAACCTCGGACCGAACTACCAGTATTCAGCGACTTTACCGCTCGGCCGCTGGTGGGCCCCCATTAAGAAAGAAGGATGTATTTAGAATATGATATTTCCTGGAAGATGCATATAGTTGTCCAGATTGTAAGCATATTTCATTTAATGTGGTACAAGAGTAGTATAAACTGCGAGTGGCATGACTCAAAGTTTCAAATCACACGTTCAGCTTCTGGTATTTTTTGTCGCATTTTTGAGTTCCCCACGAACTGCAAATAAGCATCAGTTTCTTGATTAAATAACAAATTCCTATATCCCGATTATTACAGATAAAACATACAGCATAAAATTGATGCACTAAGGCTAAATAACATCGCTCGTTCTAAATACTAATGTTTCTATTTAAATCGAGGATTTAATAATATTGGCTAATAAACTGAGCTTTGTGTCATTTTGATTCTGGGCTATGAATTTCGTCAGCGACATTCGATAACAGGTTTTTGATTTCTTCAGTCACTTTCTTTCCTGCCTATAATCCTAGATTTGTTTTGTAAAGATTGAATCTTATGTGCATCATCTCCTTCTTTACGATTCTGAGGTGGACTGCTATTAGTATTCATAACTTTCTAAGTTCATGAAAAAAAAAATTCTTAACTTGTCTGCTTTTCCTTTTGAATGAGAAAAATAAACTGTGATTTGTCTCACAGTAACATCGAACAGAACGAATCCACTAATTTTTTCGCGACAATGAGAGTCTGCCACTAGCATTGGGCACTTCACAGGTGACAATCTTAATTTGCATAATTTCCTCCCAGTTTTGAAGAATCCCCAGGGAACCGATCCAAGGGTTTACCGCCCTTCTTTCACTGCCACCAAACCTCTTTAGAGGACTTTCTTCTCACCGCGTATTGAAATGCCGTCATGCTGCAAAGACAATATACACTTGCAAAAATCCTCGACATCCCCAGGATTTGAAAACGGTCCTAGCGTATATTAACCAGTAGAACTAACCATTATACCGATCAATGCGGCAGAGATAAATATTGTCTTTACTATCACTTACCCGGTATGTCTGTAATACTGCAGCTGTTTTTACAATTGCGCAAACCAAGGCGATAATCTAGGAGTGCACAGATAGGGTAGCTCCTGTCTTGCTCCTAAATAAAGGATAAATCTTTAAACTATTTGTGTTTCTTAATTATAATAAAATATTTCTTAATTCAATATTAAATTAATAACATTTCTATATTATAAATAAATATGCAATGAAACCTTTCATGGGAACAACAACTTACAGATGATCAGCCATGCAACTGACCAGTTATTTTGAAAGAACATGTGAACACTGATATTAAAATCTCTAATAATCTGGAATCATGGATGATCCTCTTAGAGAAATTTCACTTAGGGAGTCCAGCAGTAGCCGACTCATATACATACAGTGATATTTTCAGTTGGGTTACTTAGAATGTGATGATGAAGTGGATGCGTAAAGATGTAACTGTAATCATATTCGGGTGAGCACTTGAGAGCTTATTCGTGACAAAACATTCTTATATTAAAAAGATACATTACTCAATTGGCACAAAACACGAGCCCTTCAATAATTACATTCATATTTCACATATTTATAACAATTTGTTTGACCCCACCAGTAGCCAATACATTAAGACCACTGGATACTGGTACTTTGACCCAGATCTGAACCCAGGCAAACGGATTGGCTACATGATTGGCTATCAACATGCGTAAGGTGAATGCAAGCTAGTTTTTCTCAGAAAGTCCTCCACAAATGCATCTCTTCACTTAGGCAGGTAACCCTGCTGTACTTTTCCATATTAAAATAACCTAGCATAAATTAACCTAGCAATATATTTTAGTAAACAAGAAAGCAGCACACTATTTGCTAACAAGGCGGAGAAACTAAGAATAATGCCTATATAATAAGATGGATGTTAGTGACAAATAATTCCAGTTTATTTCGTTTGGTTAATTAATATTTTCGTTAGCAAAATTTAACATTATTTATCAAATAAAAACATTTTTCCTATTATATAAGTACATGTGTCATGAGCATTATATAAAATGTATGTGACAGGGATTAATGTTTAAATGACGCAGTTAAAAAACATTTGCTATTTTTCGGAGGCAGAGATATTCGCGGCTTATCCATTCACCCTATCGAAATAAAATTTCAGATATTGTTATTGATCAGCTCACTAAACAACCATAAACGGCGCTGGAAAAATGCTACGTATGGCGAAAACTGCCGGTGTTAAACATTTTCGAAAAGGAGTATTCAAAAGAACGAATTAAAACACAAGAGAGGAGATGAAAAAACAAAAATAATTTAATTTAACAATAATTTAATAATTTAAAATAACGCATTGCATTGCAGAAGGATTCTATATAACTTTATGTTTTATGCCATCTTTGAATTATGGCAAATTTCGTGTATTTGATGTGTACATCTTAGATTTCTGATAATTCAGAAACCCATCAAAAATTGAGTGATGCCAAGATATCGTGGTCGCTACAAAACTGCCAAGTTGCAGGAGATGATTCTATCTCGAAAGTGATATTGCAGCACTTGCCGAGCACGGGTGGCGATGTGTGGAGGAGCACCATCTTGCATCTGCTCAGTGTCTTTAACGTCATTTCGCTGCTATAATTCATTTTTGGCATACTTTGTCATCATATATCTTGCAGTTTGTTACTGTGCTTCTGTTTTTTTTTCTTTTGTTTGTTTTCCCATGTGATGTTTTACGAATTCAATATGTGAGGAATTTTTCATTTTTTTATTTTTTATTTTTTTAATTTTTTTTATTTGATTTCGCATTATTATTAGCACTTTTTGCTGCTATCAGTGAGCAAATGGATTAGGTTTTGAACTGATTTTTTACTTTATATATGTTCATTATATAAAATATAATATATATACTATCATATATATTTTAATAGACCAATAGCTTGCAGAAATGTAGATCTTAGCTTATATGAACTTTTTTTAAGTACAGGGTGATCTTTTTTAAAGTGACAGTGTTTGAAGAGCCCTGTAGCGCGATCGAATAGCCGAAATGGCACCAAACTTGGTATTTACACTAATCAAGACATGGGAAAAAGGATTCCGTGGGAAAAAAAAAAACTAGTTCCAAAAATCGCCGCTAGGGCATTTTGTGGCGCTTCTGTAGCTTACAATAACGAGAATTAGCATAAAACACGGGTATCAAAGAAAAATGCAAATGTTGTGTAATGTAATAGGGGCTATAAAAGCAAGTAGTAGACAGCTCCGACAAATAATCTCAGCTGAAGTAAACGAGCTCTAATGGACATGCCTCTCACGTTACCGGAACGTGTGTTAATGGTGAAGCTGTATTACATGAATCAATGTAATGCATCTGCAGCTCTTCGGGAATTTCGAACCAGAAAATAATTACGAAAGGGGCCTTTATCGCTGAATGGTCTTAAGAAAATGATTAAGAAGTTCGAGGAAACAGGGTCACTGACCATTCGAGCTGGGAGAAGACGTAAACCAGTATCAGAAAATGTAATAACTGATGTGGCAACTGCAATATTCGAAGGATCGCAGGGAACCATTGCTGGTACTAGTATCGCCCGGGGTGTAGCTCGACAATTGAACATGAATTATTCCATGGTATGGAGAGTTTTGCGGCACGTTATTGGATTTTACCCCT